ATGAGTTTGTGGTTTGGGGGATTCCCCCACCCCCCCCGAAAAAAAAATAAGGAGCATTCACACACACACACACACATTCACACTTTTTTTTTTTTTTTTTTCGTTTTGGCTGGGGCATTGGCCTACAGCCCCCCCCAAGCAGCGTTGCTACTCCCCACACTGCCCACAACCCCCCCATTCACTGAATGCGCGTTCACCGCGTTCAAAGGCTGAATGCGAAACGCGCGTTCAATGAACGCGCGGTAACACAGAGTGGGTGGGAGCGGGGAACGTTCCCGCTCTGATACCAGTGTGGCGGACCCACCAGGTGTGATGCTCCGCCTGGATAGAGATGGAGATGGAGGATGAGAGTGAAGCAAGATGGCACAGCGCAGCTCCCACGCAAGACTCTAACACACGTACTCCAAACTGTGTGAATGTAGAATGATCCAAAATATAGACTCTGGCTGGGGTATACCCCAGCGGACTGACTGGATTGGACTGGACTGGCTAGTACCGACTTCGGTACCGGCCTGGACTGGACTACCCCAAATACAACACAGGCCTCTGAGAACAGGCCAAGGGGCTGGTCTCACAGGCCAACCAGAGGTCCGCTACACTTGGCCTCAATCTGGTACAAGACAACATTCTGGCGTTTGACAGCCAAGCAGCCATCCCACCTGCGAAGAACGGTTGCCACCTACCCTTGGAAAAATAAGGGGGGAGACAGCAGGTGCATGCACAGAGTCACCTTGCGGTATGTGGCCCAAGCAAAAGCCAAGCGTGGATTGGGGATTATCAACCCGACTTACTGTTCAAGTTCATAATAAAGATGCTCCTTGCAAACGACATTCCCTGGACCCCCTAGCACATATCCAACTCAGCAATTTGGCCCCGGAGTCAGGGTCACCCACCCCTCTTCACCCCCTACAATGGTTTACCAATGCAAGCTAGCCTATCCCATCCCCACCAAGAACTAGGAGAGATAACTCGCTACCAAACCGAGCAAAATGGGACTTGCACGTGGACCCGCTGTGGGCCTCCATGCTTCGACTATGGAGAACCAAGGGTCCTACGTAGACCACGACCCCGATGAGGTGGCACGACGTGTGGAGACAACCGTTGTTCAAGAACCCACAGGTGCTGGAAGAAGCGGGAAATGCATTCGGCCTGCACCAAAATTCCACGTGGGTAGCATGGGTGAGAAAGGCATGTTACACAGTGGGGAATCCATGGGGCCCTACACCAGGCAACTAGAAAACCCTGGAGAAACTCAAAGAAAAACTCGAAAATATTAGAAACCGAGAACAAAAAAGGGCCCAAATAATTGAGGTCATTCCCATAGGATGGTCATTTGCCCTGAAGAGGACCCAACGTGTGACGTACTAGCTTGTGTACCTGAACGAACTTCGGAAGCACTAAGTTTTGTTATTTGTGCCTTTCGATCTTTAACAGGCTTTAGGGGTACCCTTCCTTTTCGATCGGCGGTATGCATGGAATCAATGGCCGACGAGGCCCTCCTACTTTTCAAGACTTCTTGTTTTTTTTTTTTCTGAGGACTTCTTTTGTGATTATTCTTCATCGATCCAGGAATTTACGTACGACTTACATGCGCCTTAGTGAGTCCACTAGGAATTTTGAGCGATAGCTATGAAACCGTTTGAGCGCACTTAAGCGTGAGCGAGCGTGCGCTTAAATCCCCCTAGTGCGCGCTCAAAAGCGCTCAATCATTTTTCGGGCGCGCATGCACACCGAAACATAAGCGCGCACACCTAGGGGGCCCGGATGAGGAGGGGAACACGTGGGGGTGTTTGCACCGGGAAAAAAAAA